TAACATTAAATTGAAAACCACACAGTAGGGATTCAATAAAAGGTCATTTTGAAGCTTTGGTGCCAGAGCTGAACTCCTGTGCTCACTCTTCACTCCCCTAGGCCAACAGGTCCCCAGGGCACAGGCAAAGGAACAAGCCACCCAAGACCCTGGCCTCCTGCATGCTGGGCACCAGGCTGATGCGGCAGTGGAACCTGGAGCACCTTGCCCTAAGAGTCTCCTTTGAGCAGGCCTTGAATGGCAAGGGGTGTTCTCCAATTTGTAATTCATGGACCTTTAAAGCTGTGTTTAATATTAGAAGCAAACACATGTTGCTACCCTTATTTGTCAAGTAAGTCCTTTAAAAAAAATCATTTAGTAACACAGTTATATCAAAGAAAAACAGTTTAACACCAAAAACTGTAGGACAGAATCTCAAAATAAAGGGCTGTCTTAAATATTAGGATGAGTTTCCCTTTATGAGAATCCCTTTTCCTCCCAGCTCTCATTCTGCCACAAACCAGGAAAAGCCCCGTTCTTGGCCAGCATCAATCCCCAACGGCACATGGGACCTCTGAACAGACCTAACCTGTCTAAACCTCAGTTTCTCATCCAGGAAACAGGATACTTTCAGGACAGATCTCAGTGTCGCTGTATAGATTAAATTAGCAAATGCTTATAAAGTAATTAGCACCAGTGCTCAAGAAATGATTTGTATTATTTCCAGACTCTTAACATGCTGCCACCTCAGCACTAGTGTCCCTCCTCACTTCACACAAAAACCCTGGCTCCTTCTCATTCAAATGCCACTTCCACTTTGCCCTCCCGGATGCTCAAGTACCTTCCTCGGGCCTTTGTAGAGGTCTCCACTCCGAGGGAAAACTGTGTTTTCTCATTTGGGTCCATCATAACTGGCTTCTGTCCATGAGAGATGAAGAGCAGAAGCTAAATGAACCCCAGGACCAAGAACAGGGGAGACTGGGGATAGGAAACACAAGGAGAATTATAGAGGAATGGCCAAACAGAGTTGTTGAAGCAGGTCCTGAGCACTTCTGTGCCCAACACTGTTCCACATACTCTCCATGGATTTACACATTTAATGGCCAGCACAACTCTCTGAGGGGTTATTACTACTCTCACTTTATAGGTGAGCAAACTGAGGCACAGAGAGAGCACGTACCTCACTCAAGCTTGCATGACTACCAAGGTGGGAGAAGGATGTGAGCCTGTGATTTAATCCCCGTTTACTATTTCTACTATTACTTCCCTCTGGCACTGCAGCAGTCTCAGCAAATCAATCCATTGATCAGATATCTAAGGGGCACTCACCATAAATACACAGGGCCAGTCCTCGAGGACATAAGGAGGTCCTAGAGGAGTCTGATCAGAGCACAAAGTTCTCTGCCTGTGTGTGTGTGGGGGGGTGAATGGCAGGGAGCCCCCTCATCTTCATGCCCCACCCTTGAAGAACCACAAGCACTCAATCAATCACCCAGACCGACTGGGTGACTGAGGCCCAGGGCTGTGGCTCCTAATACTTCCTTAAGGTCTCCCTTTGTGCACAAGGGAGAAGGTACAGTTCAGTCAAGGTCAAGGAGGGGGACCCAGTACCCAGATTTCTGCCTTTCTCCCTGCCTCTTTCCCAAGCTCAGGGCCCTGCTCTGGCAGAAGTGGGACATCTGGAGTGTGTGTGTGTGTGTGTGTGTGCGCACGTGTGCGCGCGCGCGCGTGCGCAGCACGGGAAAGGGAGGGCAGATTCCCAACTACTCTCCCAGACTTGCTGTTCTCTGCCAGAATGTAGCTGTGCTCTGGGAGCTAAATACTGGGAATTTAGGAGGCCCCTGGGCCTCTTCCCTTTACCCCTCATTCCCCTCAAAGGCAGTGGCGCGAGTGCCAGGGGGAGCTCTGGGGGCTGGAGGGACAGATTTTTCTCCTATCCCCACAGTCACCCTCCTCTGGAGGCAGCTCCCGCCCGAAGCCCGAGCCCGAGCCCAAGCCGGCCTGTCATCCCACATTGCTCTGATTAGCTATAATCTTTCTTTTTCAATTTCTCCTCCCCAAGATGAGGGAGCGAGAAAATCTCCCAGAAAATGAATAAATATTTCAATTTTCGGCGCAATCAGTCTGAGGAGCCAGCGCATGATGGAAACGGGGAAGGATAATGGTTTTCATTTAGATAAGATACAGAAAATTATTTAGTGAAAAATGAAGATTGATGAAGCCCATTGAAATTCTTTAAAATGCGATTTTTATTTCTCAGCCTAGGCTGAATCTCCCCTTCCCAGCTCCTCTGTTCCCATCAATTTTGTGGCTTTCTCTGGTCACCTTCTCCCCTTCCCCACAGAAGCTGAGGACTGGGGTCTGACAAGGCCGCCCCCTTCCTCCTCCCTCCTCCCTCCTCCCAGCCCCTGCTGAGCTTCCCCCCCAACACTCAGTGGAGATTCCCTCTGCCTCCTGACTCTCCTTGCCCTCTCTCCTTAGCATCCTCTCCCCTTGGCATCCTCTCCCCTCACCCCAAATACTTTTGCACACTTTCAGGAGGCTTTGATTTCACCCATGTTGTTGGCAGGGAAGTTGGAGTTGTGAGGCTCAGCGATCCCTAGCCCCTTTTTCCCTTCCAAAGGGTGAACAGCACACAGCACATTTCTCTCCGAAGGTTTCTGTCCCAGATTCAATCCACATGTCTCTCCCGTTTGCTAACTGCAGCTTTTGTTCCTTAAAGCTCATTCATATCCATGTTGCTGACATGTGAGGGCTGCAGGAGGGGCAGACACCGGCTTGCCCCCAACACATACCAACACTGACCCCCTTCCCCTCCCCCTCCCCCTCCCCCTGGCCAGCAGCCCTGCTGAACAAAGTCAGAACTTAAGTCATCTTTCCAACTTTCTGCCAAGCGGGGCCTGGCCTGCCAACCTTGGGGCAGGCCTCCTCCGTTCCCTCAACACTACCTCCTCCTTACACCACAGATGTGCGCCCTTCCCACATCCTAAGGGTGTCAGGGTAGGAAAGAGGAATCAAGGGCTGCTGGCCCCACCAACTCAAGAGGCTTCACCTTCAGAGCTGGGGAGTGGCCTGGTCTGGAGAGGAGGGGTCCAGGGAAACATAACACCCCCAAACACACACCCACAAACCAGGAAGGGATCAGAGAGCAGGACAATGCCTGGGGCCTAACCATCCTGGCCGACTTCTCTCTTCCCAGACCTCCCCCCCCCCCCCGCAAAAAAAAGACCATCTCCTCCATTTTGTAGACTGTACATCTCCGTAAGTGTCTGCCTCTGTGGATGTCTTTGTAAGTTTCTTTGTTTGCTCGGGGTTGGTGTGTGGGGGAGAGTGTCTGTGTCCTTGTAAGTCTGCCTGCGTACACGTACTGTGTACATGAGTTTGGAAGCTGGTGTGTGTGGACCGCGAGAGTGTTGGGTTTGGGAGAGCAATCTGTCTTGCTGGGATGTGTTGGCGTCTTTGTGTATGTGTCTGTCTCTGTGTGGGGGAGGTTTGTGAGGATGTCTGTGTCTCCGTAGGTGAAGAGTCTGTCTCAGTGTCTGTGACTGCTTTACGGTGTTTATCAATTTCTGTGTATCAGCCTCATTTTTCTGGGAGTAGGGGGGGAGGAGCTCAGCAGGATCAAATCTTCCTCGGAGTCAGATCCAGGAGACAAGAACCCACTCCCACAGACCCTGGCCCTGGATGGGCCCTTGATCCCTCACCCTCGCCCAGGACACGGGAACATCTTCATCCCTTTCTACCGCCCACTCACTTCCCAGTCTGGCCGCCAGTTCCAAAAAAGCCCCAGAAGGCAACACTTCCCTGGCCCCACCGGGGTGCCAACCTTCCTCACGTGCCCCCTCCGTACCAACGTGGCCTGCAGCTGTGTTCAGAACTCCACTCCCCACCGGACCCCGAACCCCACCTGAGGCCCCCCATTCCTCCTGAGGGGGCAGCCCCGGCAGCTGGAGCACTGTTCGCACTCCGGTCCCCCAGGGGCCTGGCTGAAGTGGGGGAACCCGCTGCACGTCTTCGGGAGAGCCTCGGTTCCCAGCTTTCCGCGCACCGCCCCCCCCTTCCAAATCTGAAGCCCCACCCTCTCCCCAGCCTTCCCCTTATCCTGGTCCCGGGCGTCCGGATCGCCTCAGAGGCTCCGGCAGAGACCTGGGGCGCCCGGGTCCCTCTTTCACTCCGACCCCGGCCCTCGTGGCCCCAGCGCTGTGCGCTCCGGCGCGGCCAGAGGAAAGTACTTGGGCAGAGGAGCGGCGAACTCCGCGTCGCCCGCGCCTTGCCTCCGCGCCTCCCGCCCCGACTCCGCGCCGGAGCCGAGCCCCCGCCTTACCTTGGGAGAAAGTGTCGGAGAGGGCGAGGATCCAGACGAGGAGGCTCAGCATGCTGCCGCCCGAGCTGGGCCCGAGTCCGTGGCGGGGAGAGGAGGGAGCGGGCTGGGAGGGAGCCGGCCCCCGCCCTGCACACCCGCCCTGAACACTCGCCCTGCACACTCGCCCTGCACACTCGCGCACTCGCGCGCACAAACTCACTTTCCTCCTCCGCGCAGCGCTCTCCCCTCCCGGCCTCCTCCAAGGCCCGCCCCTCCCCGGGCTTTATCTCCGGGGTCTCTTCCGTCTCAGCGCCGCGCTCCCTCCTCTCCCTCCCCTCCCCTCCCGCCTCGCTCGCTCCCTCCCTCCCCCTGACGTCCACTCTCCCCCGACGGCGCCTCCCTCCCTCCTTCCAGGCCTCCCTCCCCCTTGCCCCCCCACGCTCTCACACTAGGGCGCCCAGCGCAGCCGGGGGAGCCGAGAGAGCGCACAGGGCGAAGGGATGGGGACCCCACCCACACAACCACCGCCCCCTCCCGGACGGACCCCGCCCGGGACGCGCGGGGGGGGGGGGGG